CGAAGACAAGCAAAAATAGAGGGCTATAAGAATTTAGAAAGTATTCTGAATGATTAATTTGGAAAATACTTTCAACATTTGGGGAAAAGTTTATTTTTGGCTCTTAAAAGTAGTACTATAAAAGTAAGCCGTTTTTCATTGTGTTATTATTATAATGCTATCTGGAGAAGCCATATGGTTAATCCTTCTTGTAGCTAACATGACTTCTCTTCCTTATAAACTGAGTAAGGTAAACAAATTTTGCCAGTATGTGCAGGTTATAAACAAAGTAACTCAGTGTTAATTTGCCTTTTGGATAGTAAAGGTGCCTCAGCAAGGAAAGGAAGGGAAAAGTTAAAAATAAGCTATGTTGTTTTCAAAATTAGAAAAATTTCAGACTTGCTTCAAATACTTACTTAAATGCTAAAATACTCTAAAACTCTACATTATTGAATTTGAAGGTCAGTGAACCCTAGATAATAATGCAGAATATCTCTGTGGATCCAATTAGTACTCTTGCTATTTTGTTCCCTTTATCTTTATATTTTTGCTAAGAATTATTGAAATTTAAAAGTTTGCCATATATAATATCTTACTTTTTTGATATCTTTTTATGCCCCCACCCTTGAAATATTGCAATTTATAAGTTTACCTTGTAAACTACACTTTGTTAAACAAAGAATGCGACCAGTTCACCCATTCCCTGGTCCAGCTGCCATTTATTTCCTCTAGGTGTGGCCCTAGCAGAGCTCTCTTTTGGTAGCTGCCTGCATGATTGGCAAGTTGAAGTTGGAATGTTTTATGGTCTGTATTAATGGATCTGGTTCTTAGAAACTAAGTTGCTTGCTAAGAAAATTACCCTCTTCATTTCTGTTTTTAGTAGGGAGGCCTTGGCATTTGTCCAACAGTTAATGAGAAATCATGGTACAATTATGTTTTATTTTTTTTTCCTCAATTCTTTCTGTGTTTGACATAATGGTGAAAATTAAAGAACCTTGAATGGAAAATGCATCAATAAAATAAAAGCATATCGCAATTATATTCTGACCTTGGTTTTTTCCCCCCTCCTATAAGTATATATTTTTCACAGAATTAATTATATTCTAAAGTGTACCCATGCTCTTTGTGTTTGCTACGAGATGTTTGCTAGTAGAGTGATTGTGTCGTACTTTGCCCTTAGATGAAGCAGTGCTTTTATAACTTCTAAACATTGCCTGCATTGTCTGAGGTTTTTTTATGGTTTAAATTAAATTTTCTTATTGTTCGTACTGATAAAAATCCAGTTGCACTTCAAATATCAGGATAAATTAGTGTATTGTCTGTAAAAACCAGCTCTTCTGTGAAATTGATTAACAGATAAACAATTTATATGAAATTTGAACGGCTACAGAGCAGTCGTGGCACAGTGACTGGGTAACAGTTGAGCTGACTCACGGTGGGCTTGTAACACTTTTATTTCTGTCAGGGGTAATTTAAGTATATGCCAAAGTGATGATAGCTTCATTATAGCAATCTTCAAAGTAGTCATTAGTTATGTATTTTAAATTAGAAAGGTTATATAAATTTAAAAAGTCTGAAATAGATCAATGAATGCTTTAGTCATTTAAATTGGTATGTAAAGATGAGACATTTTAGTTGAAAATAAGTATAGCAGTGTCTTTTCTGTGGTCGTGAAAATGCTGGCATTTATTCATAATGCCCACTTATACAGGAGACTGCACATAATTGATACCATCTAGCTCTTGCTTAAAAGGATCAAATATAAGACCTTGACATCATTAAAATTTGTTTCCTGAAATATTTACCCTTGCAAGTAGATTTCTGTGAAGTTAAAAAAATCATTGAACAATATTTTTTCTGATTTAAAAACATGTACAATTTTAAACATTTCGATCATATAAACAGGAAAAAAATTAAGATTTATCAGTAATCTCATCATGAACAGATAACTTCCATTAATATTTATATGTATACTCATTTTTTAACTGTATATTTGTGTGTATATCATCATGCGTTGTATTTTGTGACCTTTATTATTTTTTTCTTAACATAAATAATGAACATTATTTTATGCTATTAAATATTTTTCTTCTATACCAAGGCTTCTTAAAATGATCTCTGAAACTCCTGCGTAGTGTATAAAACTCTGTATTTTGTAAATACAGTCATCCCTCAGTATGTGCAGGGGATCAGCTCCAGGAGGACCCCAGCAGATACCAGAATGCACACATACCCAAGTCCTGCAGTTGGCCCAGTGGAACCTGAGTATATGGAAAGTGGGCCCTCCGTGTACTTGAGTTTAGAATCCTGTGAATACTGTATTTTCAATCTGTACATTTGGTTGAAAAAAATCCTCCTATAAATGCTCCTGCACAGTTCAAACCCATGTGGTTTAAGGATCAACTGTATATGCATTTTCCCCTGGGAAGAATTATTATTTTTCACTGGATTCTTGAAAGAGTCTGTCATAGTTAAGAACAAACTTTATTTTTAATAGCTAGATGATATTTTATAATTCATTTATATATTCCCTTTTCAGACATTTATTAGCTTTCTGGAAGTGTAATATGTCCTGACCAAGAATATTTTAATTCAGGAATGCAAGGATAATATTTTATTCAGAGTTTATTCATCTATATTCACAAATGAAACTATCCTATAATATTAAGTTAGTTTTTGGTATTCTTAGAAATCAGATGAGCTAGTGCTATACTAGTTTCATAAAATAAACTGGGGCATTCTGAATATTTTTCTGTGATCTAGAACACTTTAAACATTAAGAATAATGTCTTTGTAAAAAAAAGAAGTTAAGTAGACCCTGTGCTTTAGTGATAGCATTTTATATTTCCAATTTCTTCTAAAGATACTATTCTTTTAGAGTCTCCTCTCTCTTCTTGGGTTACTTTTTGGTTATTTACATTTTGCTGAGAAATCATTAATTTTGTTTTGCTATATAATTGCTAAAAGCAATTTAAAAATTGTTTAAATCTATTTGGTATTTTTGGACGTATCTTCCTAGTCAGGGTTATGTGTTTTTCAACTGTTAATGATTTGGGATTTATGGAAAGATCACCAAAATGGCACTTTTAGTGTAATATGACTTAAATGGGTTTTGCAGTCTGACCAGGGAACTCAGCTACCATGCGTCCTGCAGCCAGCGCCGGGTCTCAGACCATCCGGCTTCTTATCTGACATACTGCCAGGTGTTGAGGTCGTGGCCCCGGCGCCATTTCCCCCTAAGCGGAAGTGGGGCTCCTTGGGTAAGCGGCTGACTCTAGTACGTCTTGGGAGAAAGGAAGCTGAGCCTGCAGCATCTTCCCAGTCTGTAGGACTCAGGCAGCTTGAAGAGGCTCCCATCTCCCCAAACTGGGAGAAGGGTAGTGCCAGTAAGGATGATATCTCTGATGGGTGGGAACACTTGATACACTCAAATCCACATTTTAATGATAATAAAACAAAATACTAACTGCTCATCGTTGGAAGATGGTAAATAGAGGCAGTCTCAGGTGCCTCCTCAGCAGTTCTTGATGGAGTCAAATGATTTTTCCCTTTTAATTGTTGATACAGTTAATTAGGATGATAGTCTTTATGAGGTTTCGTTAGCAGGGAGGACAGGTGGGGGATTAAATAAATAGGTCTGGCCCGGCCAATCAAGAGAAAACACCATCCAGAAGACCCCCTCCCCCCACAATACGATATGCAAGGATAAATTCCAGAGGAATTAAATATGTAAGTGATAAAAATAACACAGTGGAAATTTGAAAGAACATGATTGTGAATATTTCTATGATCTAGGAATGGGGAGGTCTTAGGAAGACTAAGAAGCTCAGAAACCATAAAGGAAGATAGACATTTACCTTTATATAACAAAACCAAAACAGAAACATGGAACTTACTATAAGACTATAAAAAGTGACAAATGATTAACTTGGAAAAGTTAAGTTTATAATACTGTATGATTTACAAATGGTCACTATCCCTAATATACAAAGAATTTTTGTATATTGATAATAAAAAAACAAACGGAATAGAAAGATAGGTGAAAGGCATAGAGAGAGATCAGGAGAGAAGAGAAGATGGAAGGTAGGGTTGTGAAAGATGCTCAGCTTCACCTGCCTGGTTGGCAGCATCTAAAATGAGCAAGGATGCAAAATGCAGGCGTCCTGCGGGTGGGAGTGTCAGTTGACACCACTGCGTGGAAGGGCGATCTGGCATTGTCTATAAACTTTAAGAGTACTTCAGCTCAGCAGTTGTGCTTTTGTAAAACAGGTGTAGAAATAAAAGCACAAGTCTATTAGGAAAGGATTGAAAATGAGAATGGCCTCATTCTGGGAACAAGTAGCAATTGGATTTTCTCCTCACCACGCTGTGTTCCTTCTTAGGTGCCGGTTGAAGAAGGTGAGGAAGAAGGTCCTTGGGCAGAGGTGGTCCCCAGGGAGCCACCCAGGGTCACTTCCCACAGTGCCACTGTGTGGTCACGTGTGTGGACAGCAAACTCTGCTATAGACGATATCTGAGCCAGGGGGCTTTTCTGTGCCCAGGCACATCAGCCCAGCTGCCTCTGTGTTCCAGACTTGGGGGCTCTGCCAGACCGAGATGGGCAGGCAGACGGGCAGGTGGCAGCTTGATGGAAGGAACACAGCTGCGCGTAAGGGAGGAAGGTAATGGGCAGGAGTTGAGTGCGTAGACAGCTCTGGAAGTCTGTGCTGTCACTAAGGTAGGAGGAGCTCGGACTTGGATCCTTGGAATTACCGTGCAGAGGCTGTGATTGCCATGCTAAGTCTCCAAGAAAAAGTGTCATTGTTTTTATTATATTTTGGTTTTCAAATCTGGGAAATATATAATATAATTCAAGTGAAAGATTTCTGTCTAAAATGTTTTGTAAAATTTTATTATATAAATGGGTAAGACTCTGTACCTGGAGAACTTGGCTTTCTAGAAAAATTTATTCTTTGATGTTGCTGTTAGCTAATTTTTTGCCATAAATGGTTTTTAATGTTTCAGTGTCCCTTTGCTTTCAGTTTTTTGTAGCATCAGACCCCACAGTTAAAACAGATCGACTGTGGCATGACAAGTATACTTTGAGGAAATCCATGATTCCTTCGTTCATTACAATGGATCAATCTAGGAAGGTGCGTGGGAAGACGCTTCTGTGATTTTGGTGTTTTATTACTGTGTATACTTGTGTTATGTGACAAAACTAATTTTTAGTTAAAATTTTGTTGTATTAATGTTCTTGAGGTGAAGTATATGTTACTTGAATATAGCAACATAATGTGTATTTGTTAATATATCTTTTGAGTTTCTAGAATTCACTTGATGCTATAGTAGATGCTCTTGTTATTTAGTTTTTAATCAATAGCCAATTTGTAGCTTATGAATATTTATAGTATTTGGACAATTATTTTAATTTTATATAAAAGTAATCATAGGATATTTTCCTTTTTAGGTCCTTTTGATAGGAAAATCAATAAATTTTTTGCACCAGGTTTGTCATGATCAGACTCCCACTGCAAAGATGATAGCTGTGACGAGGTCTGCAGAGTCACCCCAGGATGGTACGAGGTGGTGGTGGTGGGGCTAGGGATGCTGTGATGATGGTGATGGTGGTGATGATGATGATGCTGTGACGATGATGATGCTGTGATAATAGTGGTGGAGATGGATGATGCTGTGATGATGGTGATGGTGGTGGTGGTGATGATGGTGACGATGGTGTTGATGATGTTGTGGTGATGGTGATGGTAATGATAGTGATAATAGTGATGGCGATGATGTGATGATGATGATGGTGATGATGGTGATGTAATGATAGTGATAATTGTGGTCGTGAAAATGGTGGTGGTGGTGGTGGTTGCAATGTTATATATAGCTTAAACTATTTTTTGTTCCATAGGATATACAGATTACCTGAATTTTTTCTAAAACATCTTAATATTATACATAGTATGATATATATGTAAAATAATCTTTTACTATGTAAGTTTTTAATTTCCTTTTTATACAGTGTTAAAAAGTATAGATGTAGCTATTTTATCTTTCTTAGTAATTTGTGTTACTTTTTTTAAATGGTAATGTTACTTTACCATTACCACACTGTTACTGTGTGCCAAAATAAGAAAATAAAAGAAAGAATTTTGCTAATGGTAGCCATGCTTTGGGACACAAAGGCTCGTTCGGAAATCAGCAAGGGTGTAGTTAGTATTTATTGTAATCAAAATGTGGTTGAGTCCCTGCCTGCGTTGACAACACTGTGGCTTCCCGTACCCCACGCTGTCTCTCCTACTTCTTCCCCATTCCCAGCTGCAGTGATTGCGTGGAATTTTGAGTATAGCTAACTTAAGTTTATAGCTTTCCAGTTATGGCTGTATTTGCTATTTATAATGTCATTTTGATTCATTCAAAAAGTTTACTTTGCATAGGATATTGTGGCATGCATAGAAAAGATGATAGGAATTCACCGTGGTTATGCCTTTCATGAGTTTATTAGTCTAGTAATGGAGGGAGGTGAAGTGTACAATAAGATAATAAAGTAGAACATGATCAGTGAAATGAGATATACAGGGAAAGTGAAAGTGCTTTAGTTATTTCCAGTGAAGTATCAAGGAAGAGGGAGGAATTGACCTGACCCTGAGGAAGGGGTGCGATTTGGTCATGGGTTACTGTGTAGCCTGGGAAGGGGGCAGAGCGTGAGCAGAGCGCAGGTCAGAAATAGTAGGGATTGGACTTCTTCCAGGATCACAGTGAAAATAAAGAAAAGGTTTTTGAGCAGAAGCATGGCATGGTTAGAACTATTTCTGGAAGTTATTATTGCTACTGCTGCTTAATAGTGTGACAACTTAGAGAGAGACTAGAACTTGGTGTATGCACTAGGATAGGTTATTGGATGTGGCTTCAGTTATGGATGTTTTTGGAATGAGATACTTAACAGGAGTGTTAATAATCGCAGAGGCGGAAAAGTCAAGGATGATACTAGAACTCTGAGCTCATGAGGCTAAAGGGTGAGTAGCAGTGAGTTTAGGAATAAGATGGGCTTGGGAGAGAAGATTTTTAGTTTGGGGCCATTTGATTTTCAGTAGACGTGGTAGTGGAGATTTCCAGCATGTATTGGAAATGCTGTACCGAAACTCCAGTGACCTGTCAGGGCCCAGTGGAGAGATCTGGGAAGCACCTGCCTTAACCATAACAGCGCAGGACAATGCTGGGGGCACCTCAGGAGCTCCCGCGGTCAGGGCAGGTGTCCTGTCCCTCGGTGCTGGGAATGACACCATCCCATCCCTCTTACCTCAAATGCATTCACACACCATTTTGCATGGACTTCTTGGAGTCCATAGACCCCAGGTCATTAGTTCCTGAAATAGGGAGATGTGATCCAATACAGATTTTTGGAAAATGCCAACATTTAAGAGAAGAAGGAAGAAGAGCCAGGAGAGCAGTTGTGCTGTTAGAGTTTTAAACATTCCCTAGTGCCTAGAGAGGATGACCCACAGGAGAGGCACAAGATGTGCCCAGGGGGTCAGGCGCCCCATATGCCTGGAGTGGAGGAGGCTCTTTGTGGAGGCCACCGCCGCCATTCAACTGAATGCGGTAGATGCTGTAGTAGATGCTGCTACTGCCATCTGCTGCTGCTATGCTGTTATATTACTGCTAATACTATTGTCAACTGCTGCTACTGCTATGCTATTATACTACTGCCAATTGCTGCTGCTGCTATGCTATTATAGAACCATCAACTGCTGCTGCTGCTATGCTGTTATACTACTGCTAATACTACCGTCA